GCACTCTGCTGTCTTCAAGTGGTCCTTCATAAGGTCAGCCCGGGTGGGCAGCCTCTGTGCTCCTTCCTACTCCTCATTTGTCTGGTTTAGTGTTCAGCTCATCGTAAGGACATGTAAGGGTACTTAAAAAAAAAAAGAAAATACGCAGAAATAGAGCAGGTTGAACAGGTTGAATTTGTTCACATTCCAGATACAGTAGAATTAACATTCTGCAAAAAAAAAGGAAAAGAGTGGGTGAAATTGTGTGGAATTTTTAAAAAATGTTTTTGACTACTTAGAGAACTGGTTGAATTTGGAAAAATTGTTCATCTCTGTGGCTTTAACTTTGGGGAAAACGTTGAGACATTCAAGCATTTTGGTTTTTTTTTTTTTTTTTGCATTTGCAGCTCAAAAGAAAACCAAGAGGAAGCAGAGTCTTTCTACTCCCACTCCTACCTGTGGGATCTGATTTTCTGAGGCACTGATGTCATCAACTAAAGGCTGATTTCTTGATTACACAGGCATTTTTTGGTTTATCATCTTTCCTCCTGTAACAAAACCAAACAGCCTTGTGGGCAGGAGGATGTATTGGCCTGAACGTCCCCTTGTCTGACAAATGTTCTTGCTGACCGAAGCTTTCCCTGTGGTTAAGATACTCGTAATTCCTTTTTCTTCTGTCAAACAATAATCTGGGCTTGTGCTTCAGCCTCTTTCTGTGCATCAGTAGTACTCACTCTCTCTAACTGGACAACTCTTTTCATGAAACTTAACCCCAACCTTGGTCAAAATGGTGACCCATATTGTGGTAGTGTGTTGGGGGGAAAGACTGTAAACTGACCACAAAATCCCCTTTACCTCAGCTCCTTAGAAATACAACCTAAAACCATGAGTAAGAGTATTATTATTGAACAAAGAAAAATCCCTCCATGTAAACTCCTTGAAAGATGACAGGATGTCCCTAGCAGGAGAGCCAGGCAGTTTCTAACTGAAGAGGAATTTCTTCTGAACCTTCAGTGTCTTCCCTATTTAGAAGCAGCCTCAATTCTGCCGCTGTGTGGCAGTGCTGAAAAAGGACACGAAAAAAAAACCCAAGCAGTGAAAAATTCATAGAAGCATGGAATGGTCTGGGTTGGAAGGGACCTTAAAGATCACCCAGTCCCACCCCCCTGCCCCGGGCAGGGCCCCCCCTTCCCCCAGCCCAGGGGGCTCCCAGCCCCGTCCAACCTGGCCTTGAACCCTTCCAGGGAGGGGGCAGCCACAGCTGCTCTGGGCACCCTGGGCCAGCGCCTCACCCCCCGCACAGGGGAGAATTTCTCCCTTACATCTCATCTAAATCTGCCCTCTGTCAGTTTAAAACTGTCACCCCTCGTCCTACCCCCACCCCCTGACCCAGAGTCCCTCCCCACCTCTCCTGTCCCCCCTTTAAGCCCTGGGAGGCCGCTCGAAGGGCTCCCCGGAGCCTTCTCTTCTCCAGGCTGAACCCCCCCAACTCTCTCAGCCCGGCCTCCCAGGGAGCTGCTCCAGCCCCCCCAGCATCTCCGTGGCCTCCTCTGGCCCCGCTCGAGCAGCTCCGTGTCCTTCTGCTGTTGGGGGCCCCCGAGCTGGCCCCAGCACTGCAGGGGGGTCTCCCCAGAGCGGAGCAGAGGGGGAGAATCCCCTCCCTGGCCCTGCTGCCCCCCCTGCTCTGGCTGCAGCCCAGGGCACGGGTGGGTTCTGGGCTGCGAGCGCACGGGGCTGGCTCACGGGCAGTTTTCCCCACACCAACTCCCCCAGTCCCTCTCCTTGGGGCTGCTCTCCAGCCACTCCTCATCCAGCCTGGCTTTGTGCTGGGGATTGCCCCGACCCACGGGCAGGACCTTGCCCTTGGCCTTGCTGAGCTCCATGAGGTTCACATGGGCGCACTTCTCAAGCTTGTCCAGGCCCCTCTGGAAGACACCCTGTCCCTCGGGAGTGCCAGCCGCACTGCACAGCTTGGTGTCATCGGCGAACTTGCTGAGGGTGCACTCGATCCCACTGTCTGTGTCACTGATAAAGATATTAATCAATACTGGTCCCAGTACGGAGCCCTGAGGGACACCACTTGTCACCAATCTCCATCTGGACACTGCACATTGAGCTGCCCAAGCCATTCTGCGATTCTATGGTTCTGTTTGATCAGTCACTGGAGTTTGCCGAAAGGAAGTCCACGGGCAGTCCGACAGCAGCCCGTGGGGCTCAGGAGGGTTTTCACCAGTGACCCCACTTTTCATTTTGCGTGGTGGTGCAATTGGAGGCCAGAGCTGGTTGTAAAGGCAGGATTCAGTGCTCTCAGCACAGATCCCAGCAGAGAAACCTCTTCCTTCCTGCAAACACCACCACGGAATAGCAGAGCACCTTTGGCAGGCAGGACCATGCATTTCTCTCACTTCTGTACACGAGGAGGTGTGGACAAACTCTGCAATAAGACAGAACATTAAGGACCTGTAGTAAAAATTATTTAATATGTGTTGGCCCACAATTTAACTCTTGCTGCCTGTGCAAGGAAAGAGTCATGCCTGAAGCCCTCTTTAGATTCAGGACTAAGCAGAGAAGGGCAGCCCCAGGATGGTCTTGGAGACATCTCAAGTTGGTCAAGATCAGAGTCACAGGGCTCTGCAGCCTTGTGAACATAAAAGTACCTGGAGTACCCTGGAGCACCCAAAAAGTACCCTGGAGGAGTATCATACCTCTCAGTAAGCATGAGGGTAAGAAAGAGATTGGGCTGTGGTGACTAATGGATTAAACCTGTACTGTCCCTCCACCCTCTGCGTATTTCTGAAAGCAAGTCATAAAGTAAATCATAAAGCAACATCTTTTTTCAAGCCTCATGTCACATTAACAGAGCAGGCAGAGAGGGAGGGAAAAGGAGTAGCATTTGTTGCTGTGCTAATTTCTTAAGGTCACTTGAAGCCATCTCGTGGTTTTTTGGTTATTAAATCTCTTTATTCTACTGTGAACCTTGAAAGATGAGGCAGACATTTCTTCATACAGCTTGGGGGGGCTGAGGTGAATAGGCTGGAGGAAGAATGCCTAAAAGATATGCTCAAGGCTTTCTTGTTCTCAAATGACTCAAAATTTTACAAAGAAACAAGACAATGTCAATGTAATAATAACAGAGATAAAAAGTAATTCACAACAGTCCTTACCCTTAAATAATTTCTGGAACCAAGCGAAGGAGGTATGAAGTCATGCTTTTCAGGGGTTTTCAAGCTGTTTCCACAGGGAGCTTGGTGTGCCTTTGAAGCTACTCTTTATTTACAGTGAATGCTCACCAGCTCCTTTCTCCTTGACCATGGTAACATTAAATGTCAAGATAATTTTTCCTGTCTCACAGTTCCACGTGTGCCCTTCCAGGTGGGACTCAGTCCCAGAAGATCTCTCCTGTGGTGTTGTCTAAGGGCTGGGTTGCAATCGCTTCTGTTGCTGCCTGTACACTGTCACATTTTTAATCTTTTGTTAACTTGCACGTGGGTTAAATCAAATTCATCCTCCATGCAGGCATCCATTTGGACGCACTGAAGAAAGGCACATTTAATTATCCTCTTATTCAGCATGAATAAAAGGTGGGATCATGCTTCTGGTCACTTTCCCCAGGATGTAGATCAAAGCCACACAGCTTCGTAGTCACCCAACCTCCGCTCCACATGGCAATGCAATGCATTTGTTTACGCACATATTCTTCAGCGCATCTTAAATTATCAGGATGTGTCCTGCTACCCTGAGGAACCGAAGACAGCTCTTCGCACCTCATCTCATTACTGCTGCAGAAGATTCTTGGATTATCAATAACAAATTTCAAAAATTCAATTATGACTAAAACGGAATTGCAGTGAGCTGGGAGAGTGATTTATTACTGAACTCTGAATCTATGAATAACAAGCTTCATCAAGTCATTAGTAATGCTGTAGTGTTCTTCTACAGAAAGAACATACACATTGTACTATAGAAAAGTTGCCAAAATTGTAAAAAAAAAACAAAAACCAACCCAACCCCAAACATTGATTTCTTTTTTTTCTTGCATTGCTCTAATGGCTGCTGCAGACCAGCTCACTTCACCTGCCAAGGCCCTAAATTGTGGGATATGAAATTATGGCAAAGGCCCCTTTTAAGGATGAAGGGAAAGAAATGATCCAGGCAGAAAACAAAAAGGTGACATTATCACAGCTAATCCTGACCAAGAGCGAGAAAAATTTTTTGGTAAGGAAAGCACGTACATATGGAAAAAATGAGGTTCCTTCCCTTGCAAAGATTAAGGTGTTGATAGACTGCAGTGAAATGATGAGGAATGTCTGCTTGTTACCAATAACCTTTTTCCTGACATTTGATTGAGAACAAACCTACCTTCCACCACAAGTAACTAAAGATGCGGGAGAAGGAAGCAAGGGTTGGAGTGAGGGGAATCTGTTCTCCCTGCGACCCCGTACAGCCATTTCCTCACCCCATCATGGGCCACAATCTGCCTGGAGTGCCCACAGCACTCTCCCATTCCTCAGGCAGAAAATGGGGTGCAGAGGAATAACACAGCCACTGGTTTTGTTTCTGGGCAGCTGTTTGTCGTCAGGGTGTGAAAGGAGGTGATGGAAGAAGCAAGCGCTACTCACGGAGGGCAAGCAGTCCGTGAAGGACTTCTTCCTGTCCAGCTGAGGCACTGGGCTGCCTGTGGAAACTGAGGCTCTCCCTCACGTCCACGGGGTAACGCTGGGAGTGGGGTTTCCCACAGAAAAGAGCCGCCAAACCCGCCCTTTTGGCCACCGAGACCTCCCTGCGCCTCCTGTGAGGAACATGGCGGTGTGGCGGGGGGAAAGCGGCGCCGTGGGAGACGGAGAAACCAGCGCCCCCCATTGGCCGAGCCCGGTGCCAACCATCCCCCACAAACTCGACGCTCTATAGGCTGCCGCCCGTCCTGAGCCCGCCCCCAGCTCTCCCCTGCCCCGCCCAAACCAGCGGCCGCAGAACCCGCCCGCCCGTGGGGGCGAGGGGCGCATGCGCCACGGTGGGCGGGGCGGAGCACGCTCGCCGTCGCGGGGAGGCGCGGCGGGACAAGATGGCGGCCGCCGGGCGGGTGGGCGTCCTGTTATGCCTGGCGCTGGCGGCCGGCGCGGCCGCGCTGGGAAAACAGAGCCCGGTGAAGGTGCTGTCGGACGGCATGTGGCGGGAGCTGCTGCAGGGCGAGTGGATGGTGGAGTTGTGAGTCGGGAGGGGGTCGCTCGGGCTGTTGCGGGGCCCGGCGGGCAGGAGGAGGGAGGTGGGGGGGGGGGGGGTGGGGAGCGGGCGGTGCCGTTTAGTGACAGATTTGTGCTGCCCGCAGCTATGCCCCTTGGTGTCCCGCCTGCCAGAACCTGCAGCCCGAGTGGGAGAAGTTTGCCGAGTGGGGTGAGGACCTGGAAGTGAAGATCGCCAAAGTGGATGTCACGGAGCAGCCGGGTGAGGGTGTGGCGAGCTCTTCCTCCGCGTCCCCCCCGTGGTTTTGGGCTTCTGAACGCTCGGGAAAAAAATGAAAAACGCTCGGGAAAAAAATGAAAAACGTTCGGTGCAAGTGTAGATGCTTTTAAGAAATAAGCAGAATTAATAGGAAATAATATAGAACTTTTCCCGATCTCTACCAAAGGCAGATTGCTTTATGTAGAGTAAATGCCCAAGTCTTAAAGGGAACAAGAGGATTTCCCTAGTGAGTGATTTCAAAGAGTTTTTTTTGCCCTACTTTTAAAGCGTCACACAGAGCAAAGGTGTAGTTCCAGCCTCCCCTGTAGTAGTACCTCTGTTGGCAAAAGGGAGTGCAAGCAGCCTGGTCTCCCTCAGCTGAAGCTCACTTCTCTGAATTGCCCTCATGTCTGTCTGGGATTTGTAAAAATTACCTTCTCCATAGTGATACTGTTCTCCAAAGTCACATAAGAATTCTGGAACTTGGCTCACTTGGGTTGTTTTCTGCTGGAGGTTGCAGGTCATGGGGGAAAAGGAGAGCATCTCTCTCTGAAGAGCTACAGCCAAAATAGTCAAGTAGAACAGTTATCCCCAGACATTTCTTTTTTTCCCCATGGAGAAACTTTTCTGCTCTTTGCCCAGGGACCTTTCTTCTAGACTGTGCTATAGTTTGATGTGTATGAGCTTGTGTTTGATCGCAATTAAAGAGTGATACCTGGGGGAGCACTGTTTTTAATTTGATGTGTAATAACTTTTCTTGCCTTTTCTTACATGAGTACTCTACGATTCTGAAAACAACTATTCTCTTACAGGATTAAGTGGACGATTTGTCATAACAGCTCTTCCTACCATCTATCAGTAAGTAGGCAATGCAGCAGGATTTTTTTTGGAGAAGAGAGGACTTTTTTTCCCTTTTTTTGGGGGGAGCAGATGAATGGTATTTACCATACTTTCTAAGAATGTGAGTTGCTTTACACAGAGACAATCAATGTCTTACCTGCTGTGACCTCAACTGTCAGTTGATTTTTTTTTTTTTTCTTTTCCCTTCAGGCCTTATTTATTCTGTCTTTCCATGAGTGCTTCTATTTTGCAATCTTTCCTCTGTAGGTTGATCTTAATGCAGTTGCGTGGCAAGTGCATTAGGAAGATCATTATCTTTTTGTGGAATCGCAGCCTAAAGCTAGCCAAGATACACATGGAGTCAACATTTTAGAGCCCATATCACCTAAAGCAAAGTAAAACTAAAAAAAAAAAAAAAAAAGAAAAAGAAAAAAAAGACAGGGTGATGGGAGGGAAGATATTGAGTGAAAATAAATGCTGCATGCTTGGAGTGTCTAAACTAAAGGACTTTTTTTGTTTGTCTTACAGCTGTAAAGATGGAGAGTTCAGGAGATACCAGGGTGCAAGAACTAAAACTGATTTCATAAATTTCATCAGTGACCAGGAATGGAAAGCTATTGAACCAGTTTCATCATGGTTTGGTCCTTCCTCTTTCCTGTAAGTTTCAGTATAATTTTAATAATAATTTGTTGTCAAACATCCACACTTTAAGGACCTGCTGGGACAGGCCCTTAGTTGTGCTGCCTGCTGGTTAACAGCTCACACAGCATCTCTGTGCTGGTATGTGAACGTGATGGGTGGGTGGTCGTGGCCCCTTCATCAGCTGTGCAGGATTGTGTGCATGAGCATAGCAGAGATGTCCTGAGCGAGGTTTCAAATAGTTACAGGTGGCTGTATTTGTTTTACTAAACTCTTGTAGGTAACTTACTGACACTTGAAGTTTTTGGTTTTGTTTATAGGGCAGAAAGATGTTTTGCCCAGGCAAACTCTAGGAAATTAGCAATGAAAACTGGAAAATAATGTGGCAACATAGTTGTAAGATAGGGACTGGCCATTTAAGGAGACATTATCTGTAGGAAAGCTAAAAGCAGAGTGGAAGGGTGAAGGTTCCTTTGTTAAGGAAACATGCTCTTTGGAATTCTTTCTAGCTTTGTTGTCTTTAAAGCACTTTTAGTTGTTGCTGCATGTGCTGTGTGGTGGTTTCAGAGTAGTTGAGTAGCTGAGTGATAAAGTGTGTTGGGGACACCACTGATTGAGCCAAATGAACCCAGTTGTTCATGGTCTTCCTTCTGTTAGAGCACCTCTGTGTTAACTGTGCTGTAGCAGTGTTCAGTTTATAGAGTGTTATGCTAGACTGAAATTTTATGTTTTTTGTGGCTTTTCTAAAAAGTTCGGCATTGTTACTTTGTCTACTCACAGTGCTATTTGAATCTTCAAACTGTGTAGTTGGTCTCCATAAAAGTATTGGCCCACACCAAGGAATGTGTGAAACAGGGTACTAATTTTAGGATTAATATGTTTTCTGTTAAAGTGTACAGGACCAGCTCCTTTTTTTTGTGCATACTGAAACAGTATGCAGGCTTTCTTTATGGCTCACTCATTAGCAACTTAGGTGGGCTTAATGTTTCAAATTCTCCTCTCCTTTACTGTGAATACTTAATGCTGAAGTCTCAGTAACAGGGAAGTATCAAAATCAGCAGGTTATACATGGTAGATAGCCTGGTCTTCTTCACTTGTATGGAAAATACAGCAATACAGCTGAACTTAAGTGTCTGAAGATCTGTCAGTTCTTATATAACCTGTATTTTTTTTTTTAATAGACTAATTTTTTGTTTTCATAAAATCTCTAGATGCTTAATTCTTAATATCTTGAATAGAGTTCCAGCTGGCTTATCACAGATTGTTGGTTCAAATATAATTTAGAACATAAACAAAACTAACTGAAATTCATATGTCAGCAGATTCGAGTCAAGGAAACTTGTGAATTTGTAGCTGTCCATATGTGCAACATGATACAAGCTGATGTTGGTACCGAAGGTAGCTTCCTAGGAAACAAGTGTTTATTGAAATAAAAGACGACAGAAGATAAAAATCAAAGTCATTAGAAGGGAAAACAGTAATGAGCAGAAAGTTGTTCAGCATGGGACTAAATAATGATCAGTCAGGCAAATCCAAAGATGTGACTGGCTTAAAGACATTTTTCAGTTACTTTTTTCTGCTTTGTTTCAGGATGAGCAGTATGTCAGCTTTGTTTCAGTTGTCAATGTGGATCAGGGTATGTGCTTAGACCTCTACTTTATTTTATCTTAACAGGCATGATATTCAGCTGTCTTGAAATGATTCTCTTGTCTTTTATTCCAGCACTGCCATGGTTATTTAACAGAAAACGTTGGGATACCAGTCTGGGGTTCATATGCTGTCTTTGCATTGGCAACTTTGTTTTCGGGACTGATACTGGGACTTGTAAGTGAAGCACTTGAAACAGATTGGCTTGTGGATGCTGTGTATTATACTAATGCCCTCTGTGCCGCAGTCTTTACTAGTAAAACCAGTTGTTGTTGGGGTACCCAGCTCCCTGAGCTGAAAGACAGGGACAGGGAGCAAAATGAAGCCCCCATAATCCAAGGAGAAATGGTTAGTGACCTGCTACACCACTTAGACACACACAGGCCTATGGGGCTGGATGGGATCCACCCCAGGGTACTGAGGGAACTGGTGGAAGTGCTCACCCAGCTGCTTTCAATCATTTGTCAGCAATCTTGGCTAATCAGGGAGGTCCCATTTGTCTGGAGGTTAGCAGATGTGACACCTACCTACAAGAAGGGTTGGAAGGAGGATCTGGGGAACTACAGGCCTGTCAGCCTGAGCTTGGTGCTGGGGAAGGTTATGGAGCAGATCATCTTGAGTGCCATCACGCAGCACGTAGAGGACAACCGGGTGATAAGGCCCAGTGAGCCATGGGTTCATGAAAGGCAGGTCCTGCTTCACTAACCTCATCTCCTTCTATGAGAAGGTGACCTGCTTAGGGGATGAGGGAAGGGCTGTGGATGTTGTCTTGCTCAGTAAAAGTCTGCTTGGCTGGCTGGGCCCAGAGGGTGGTGGTGAATGGAGTTAAATCCAGTTGGTGTCTGGTCACAGGCAGTGTTCCCTGGGGCTCAGTACTGGGACTGGTTCTGTTTAATATCTTTTATCAATGATCTGGACGAGGGGATCGAATGCACCCTCAGTAAATTTGCAGATGACACCAAGTCAGGTGGGAGTGTTGATCTGCGTGAGGGCAGGAAGGCTTCAGAGAGGGATCTGGACAGGCCGGATCCATGGGCCAAGGCCAACAGTATGAGGTTTAACAAGGCACCGTGCTGGGTTCTGCACTTGGGTCACAACAACCCCACACAACACTACAGGCCTGGGGAAGAGGGGCTGGGAAGTTGCCTGGTGGAAAAGGACGTGGGGGTGCTGGTGGACAGCCAGCTGAATATGAGCCAGCAGTGTGCCCAGGTGGCCGAGGAGGCCAACAATATCCTGGCTTGTATCAGAAATAGTGTGGCCAGCAGGACTAGGACAGTGATTGTCCCCCTGTAGTTGGCACTGCTGGGGCCACATCTTGAATACTGAGTTCAGTTTTGAGGCCCCTCACTACAGGAAACACATTGGGGTGCTGGAGCGTGTCCAGAGAAGGGCAGTGAAGCTGGTGAAGGGTCTGGAGCACACGTCCTGGGAGGAGCAGCTGAGGGAACTGGGGGTGTTTAGCCTGGAGAAAAGGAGGCTGAGGGGGGAGACCTCATCGCTCTCTACAGCTACCTGAAGGGAGGCTGTAGTGAGGGAGGGGATGGTCTCTTCTCTCAAGTAACAAGCGATGGGACAAGAGGAAACAGCCTCGAGTTGCACGAGGGGAGGGGTTTAGATTGGATTTTTAGGAGAAAATTCTTCAGTGAAAGGGTTGTCAAGCACTGGAACAGGCTGCCCAGGGCAGTGGTGGAGTCACCACCCCTGGAGATATTTAAAAGACGTGTAGATGCAGCGTTTGGGGACATGGTTTAGTGGTGGGCTTGGCAGTACTAGGTTAACTGTTGGACTTGATGATCTTAAAAGTCTTTTCCATCCTAAATGATTCTAATGTGCAGGGTATTTGGAGGATAAGCTTGTCTTTCTGTGGTTTCAGATGATGGTGTTCTTAGCAGACTGCATCTGTCCATCTAAAAGGCACAGACCACCACAGTACCCTCACTCAAGTAAGCCCGCTATATACTTCTCATTCAGTGAAGCTCTTTGGTAAATCTTAATTAATATCTGTATGTAATTTGCGTCTGCAGGACATGAGATTTAGTGAAGAAGTTTACGCTTGTGGTTGATGCTTTGTTTTACCTGCAGCTGTTTGCCCTTAGGCTTCATAGTGGCTTTGTATTTAGCTAAAGCTAAACTATTTAAAAAAAAAAAATTTTAGGAGATAGAAAATGTTTTTATAGCATTTTCATACCTGCAAGATAGGAAATTCCATATATGCAGGGACATAGAAGTTTGAGTGGAGCTCTCAGTGTTGCTAAACTGGGGGTTTGCATAAATTTTAGGGGCAAAGTAGGGATTTAAAGAGAATTTGTATTTCTGTGGCTAGTAAGTGATACAGTTTGGGGTTAGTCTCTGGAATTTTTAAGGTAATCTTAAAAAAAGTCATGGAAGATGATCTGCATGCTGGTTTATGGTTTGTAGGAACCTGACTTTTTTTCTTTTTTAAAAGCTGGGGGAAGTTTTATATTACGTTGTCTGGGTAGTCTGTAATCTGTTAATACTTGACCTGTGGGTAACTTCATGCTAGCAACAATTCTATCTAAGATGGCAGTTTAAGTGGCTAATCCTGGCAAGTGCTACCTGAATTAAGTTCTCTGAAGTTCTGTAATAGCCAATGATGTTAAAAAAAAGTATATTTCATGGGGTAATGGTATTTTTTTGTGTATGCATGTTTTCTTTTCTCCTTAAGGAAAGCTAGCTCCAGAGTCAGCTCAGCTGCTGAAAAAGCTGGATGAGGAGCAAGAAGCAGATGAGGAAGATATCTCAGATGATGAAATGGAGGGTAATGAGGCATCCAACAGAAGCTCATCACCGAATGCTGTCAGGCAACGCCCAGTGAACACTGCTGCTACAACGGATAAATCTTAGCTTTATTTGCATGCAGGATTAAGTGTTTGAGTCACCAGTTCAAAAGGAGATAAATGTCAAATCCTTCAGCTTGAAGCGAAGAACGACTCCTGTCATGGTAATACGGATGCATTTCACAAATTCAGAAAAAAAAAAAAAAAAAAAGGGCATCTTTGGCATCAGGTATTCAAAACTAAAACATGCTGTTGCAAATGGCTGAAACTTCTGCTGCCTGTGTGCAGAGAAGTGCCAAGAAATAATTTATGTGGCTTCTTGAATGACTTGTTCTATAGGGATTTTTTTTTTTTTAACAGAATGTAAACCAGTGTACTTGTTGCGTTAGGAAACATTAGCAAGGAAAATGCACTAACCTGTTTGCTGTTAAAGCATTCAAAAAGATTTCTTGGTATAAATCTATCTAGTTGTGCTCTGAAGAAATGCTGAGGGGAAAAGTTCCTTCAGTTATGGAACATGTTCCAGGCATTTTATGTGACAAAACCTGCTTTTTGCTATGACAATGAGTGCTACAAACACCCCAATCTTTCTTCTTCCAAAGAGATGAAAGTCGCTGTCTTCATTTAGAGGAACAGAAGTTGCCCTCTGAATAGAAGCTAGAGAGCTTGTCTTTGCCATCCTCCCAGGTGGAAGCCACCACAAGTGCTCTGTGTAGTGTGGATTATCTGGCTGACCAGAAACCTGCTATTTGCACCGATTTCTTTTAGAAAAGGCTGTAGAAAACTTACATGAGCTTCTTGTCGAAGTAATTCTTCTCTAGAAACAATTTACAAGTAGCGCCACGAAGTCTTGTTTGTCTCAGTGACTCTGATTCAGGTGGGAATAGTTTACACACAGGATTCTCTGCTGAGTGCAGATCCTATCCATTCATCCTGCTGGATGGCAGTAGGACTCTGCTTATTTTTAATACATCATCAGTGATTTCTGCTTAATTAAACTTTATTGCAAATCCATTCAAGCTGAACCTGGTCTGAAGTTGAAATAACTGCTTTTTAAATTTCTTTTACAGAAAGTCATCCTTATTTTCATGAAACCATCTTGAAACAATTACCCTAATTCTTTCTTTTAAAAAACCTGTAGTCTGCTGTTTTCTGTATATTTGTTTTCACTCTGTATAGAAATAAAAAGAATGCACATGCGCATTGGACCAGTGTTACCTTGCATCGCTTGTAAAGAATTTTCCATATTCTTTCAGTTAATTTCCAGAGTATTTACAAGGGAAGGGTTAGCCTAATGCTGAGCACATTTAGGTTTTTTAACAAGCCTGTTCTTGCTGGGCTTTTTGTTTTGTTTTGTTTTTTTTTTTTTTTTTTTTTTTGTGGTTTATTTTTGTTTGTGTCTGTCTTTGTTTGTTTTTTAAACTGTTCATCTGAGTGGGTTTGCAGAACTGGCAGTTGATAAATCTATGTCAATAGTAAACTTGGTTGTGAGTAATTAAGACTGCAAACATAGAAATGTTTTTGATATTTTCGCTGCAGCCTGGCTCTCTAAAACCAGGCTCTTCTAGTGATTATTAAGAAGACAGAACATTAGACAAGCAGCTCGTAATGAACTCTGGGATATGAAAAAAATATTGGGAAAAACTATTCAGAGCTCTTGCAAGTGAATCAGCTTGTAAAGCTGTTAAGAGTACGCGATGTTTTTTAACAGTCTTGAATGCTTCTTTGTAAGTTGCGTTTTAAATATATCTGATGGATCATAATTCATCCTCCATGTTGTGAAAAAAGTGATTCTGCTGAGTGAATCTTCCAACAAGATCTTAGATGAGTGAGAATGAGTTGTTACGTAGGATTTCCTGGCATTTCCTCCTTTGACTTTTTCTTCTTCTGAACATTGGTGCTCTGGAATGTCTTACAACTTCAGTGCTGTGTTAGGAAGATAACTGATGCTTGAAAGGGTCCTTTTGGTTAAAATGAGTGCTCCTGTCATTTTTAAATATTAAATTTTTCCTGGTGTTTGAAAGACCACTGTGTGCCGTAAATGCCCTTAAGGTGTTGGTCTTGTGGGATTGCCTTAAATTATCTAAAAGTTTAGATCTTAGTCTTTGTCACTAGTAAAATAAAGCAATAAATCCCTGATATAGTAAGGAGAACTAGTAGCACTGTCTTTGGTAAATGGTGTATTTTGTTAGTTTGGAGAGGGCTTGATAAGAGAAGGGTCACAAAAATGCTGTATGCTGTTAAGAAGTGTTCAGTTGTTTTAAAAGCTGAACTGTGTGGGCTAACTCCACTTGGAATATATTTAAATGTAGCTGTTAAGTGCAGGGTTTTCTGATTTTTCAGTTACTTTAAAACTGTGCAATATAGAAAGTATATACTGATAACTTTTGGCTAACTTTTTAAATTTTAAATAACCACCACCTTTTTTTTTCCCTTCTTGCTGTCCTTCTAGACTCCTGGTTTAACAAGAACTTCTAGTGCTAATTTACCTTGCCTTTGCCTTCTGCACACCTACCTTTTTTTACTGTCTCCCTGCCTTAGGCAAGTAACCAAATTCAAAACTGCCTCTTAGTCATAAGTGTTCCCAGTTGCTGGAATCCAGCCTCTGTGGTGCAGACCTGTGCTTGTGATTAGCATATCTTCTGCGAGTTCCGTTTTGATTATCCATAGGCAGCCTGTGTTTGCTGATCTCTGTAAATCTTATCATTCATATTTTTAAAAATGCTATGGTTTTGTCCTGTGAATATTTAAGTTTCTTGATAATTTAAAAAAAAAAAAAAATCTGTATTCCAAAGATGTTTACTGAGGCTGAGCGAAGGTTGCAATGTAACAAATGTGCGTAAGAGCCTGTCCTTTGTGTGTATTGATGATGCTTGAATATCAGTTTTGTAAAAGCCAGACTGCCCTTTCCATGTCATCACCTTGACTGAGCATGTCCAATTTCATTCCAGAAGAAATTAATTAACTGTAACAATACCTTTTTTTTTTAATGTTTCAGAAAGTCTTCAAGTAAAAAATAACCACCAGCTTTGGATTCCTGTGTTTGTCTCTTTTTTTTTTTTTTTTTTTTTTTTTTTTAAGACAGTATCTTGCTGTTTAGCAATGAAACAAAAATGCAGCTATTTCCATGGAAGAATGTTGTTGTAACACTGTAGCTAACAGGCTGTTTGTGATAAGTCTTTTTGAAAAGACAAGTTTGAATAATACTTCAGACAAAAGCTGCACTGAGGTGCTTGTGTGTTTTAATTGAGACTGGCTTGAGTACCTCGTGGTAATGTGAGCTGACCACTGACCATTTTGGTTAGATGATTTCTATGGTTTGGGAAGGAGCTTTCGTACATACCAGGCTTAGACAGCAATGGTAATAAAATGTGTCTTATGTTGCAAAAAGAATGTAGGCTCGGGTTGACAAATGATGTTTAAAATTCAGTTATTTGTAACTTTTTTCTGTATTTGCGTAAAATGCACGCAAGTCATATTTCAGCTACAGATGGACTCTTCCCCTCTTCTACCTACAAGCTGTATATCGAATCTTAACAGCTGAAAGGGGCAACGTTGGTGAATTTAGCTGGGAGCAGGAAGCTTAATTCAGAATTGTATGAGTTCTGAAGTGGAGGCTTCTCGAGGAGGAAGCAACTCCAGACAAGTTATGCTGAAAGCACTACCGAGTAACAGCTGACCCAGTGCAAAATTTGCCATCAGAGAGTCCCCCTTGCCTGTTCCCTGGCTCTTTCCTCTACCTCTTCTCTTAGGAGTGAGTATGGAGAACGTGGTAGCTCTGCGTGTCAGCTCTCAGTTTGAATGTGTGGAGTTTGCTGGGAAAGTGCAATTAATACTCTCGCAGTTCCTCCCCAGCACAGATAGGAATGCGTATTGTTTGGGGAGTTAAGCCTAACTTCCATACTCTTCTATTCAATATATTATGTATAACAGAAGAGTAATAACCACTCCAAAGGGAAGAAAAAAATGAGCAAAAAGTCAAGCTGAGGTATGTTTGGATAGTTAAAATTGTTGAGACTAGCCTGAGGAAAAAAAAAAAAAGTAACTGTATGCTTAGCTGGCAATCGGGGTTTGCCTTATTTCCGAAGTCAGCAGTCAGTTTTTTTTGAAATGAATAGTTGCATTTATGACAAAGATTGATGGAGAAAGAGACATTTCAGTACACTGTAACACTGTTTCAGTGTTTAGAAACACCAAAGTACTGTCAATTTTAAGGCTGCTTTTCTTTAAGGAAGAGGGAATCTATCTCATGCAGATGTCTTACCTCCTTGTTTGTAGCAGCGGAAGTTCTTGGTTTGGCCTGCACAGCATCACCTTTGACTCTTCCCTGAATTTTATTTCTGACCACTAGTCTGGCTAATACTGTAGATTTCACCCTTGGGGTGGCTTTTTTTTACCTTGCTGAACTCCTCCTCTTGTGGGCTTACCAACCTCAGTAACTTTCTAGAAGTGATTCTGCCTCAGTCTGCTTTTTTCCCTCACTTTTCCATATTTAGCTCTTTAAAACTTCCCAGATATAAGTTTCGCTTCTCTTTAGCGTTGCTTGTAGAAATTCTCTTAACTGCATGGCAGACCCGGAAAGCCGACTCCTGGGTATGCATCTGATGTTTACTAGCCATCTTTAAGCTGTGAAAGGAATAAATGTATTTCCTTTATCTGGTGGAGTACTTGAGTATATACATATCCCTGAGAGAGCACTTGTATTTGACCTTAACTTCTTGCATACAAGAACTCATTTCAGTCTCCTAGAGGCTGAAATCATGGGAAGCATTTGGGCTTCCAGTCCTGCCTCCCCGAGGCAGGTGGTTCCCCAAAACCCAGGGAGGAGCGGTAGGCACATGCTGAGGGGTAACGGTGGATGTGGGCTTGTGTATGACTGATGTCCTTGAGGTGACAGCAGGTTCTGACGTACCTGTGAACATCAGAGGGGGGGAAGAGAAACCAGTGAAATCTTCTGGTTGTCTCTTTTTTTTGTTTGTAAGTTAAATTATGCCTCCTATATCATGGAGTTTTAAAAATGCTAGTTGAAAAACCACTAATGCAAAATCATAAAGATAGTATTTTTGTTAGCTGTGTTTTTCCTTCCAGAGTTTATGCTTTGAGCCTGGACCTCAATGTCCTTTTTTTTTCCCCCCTCAGATGACTGGTAATTTCTTGGAAAGATTATGTCTCTGAATCTTCCTTCAAACTCCTTGGCATGCGGGATGGCTATTCTCCTCTGAATGCTCGCTGTATCAAGACTATCAACTGAAGGAAAAGGAGTGTTCAAAGTAAAAACTTCTTGCCTGTGGCTGAAATCACAGGGATACAGGATGCCATTTCCACGGGGCAAGTTCACCTGGTGTGTTCCTCCCCTGTTGCACTCCCAGCACAAGCGTGCGTAGGCACGGTGACAAGTGACAAGGTGACAAGGAAAAGCTGCTCACCCTGTTAGCGTCATTGCACAAGGCTTGTTCTGTTTCGGTGAGGCTCAGACCTGCTCTTGGCACTGTTGATGTAAATCTCTTCCACCTGACCCCTCAGACTGGCCAAGGTCTTGTTCACTGACAGACCACACTGCATATTTGTCTTGGGATTGCAGTCTGATCTGTCAAAAAAAGAAAAACCCAAGGAGGCCAAGTGCTGGTTTTGGGTGGCTCGAATTCCCGTGATCTGCATCAGTGGGGAGAGCCTGGGGACTCCAGAGATGCTGAGCATGAAGGAATGGGCAGCATATAAACTGAGTATGATCCGCAGCTGTCCCACAGGAGTACGAGGGGTGTGAGGACCTGGTTGGTACCGGTTTGGTGTGACGCTGTTACTCCCTCCCTTACCCCAGCCTGCAGAAGCTGGCTGGTTTCTTCGTGTAGGCTACCTCAGTCTCTGGGTCTCCCAGGAAAATGCCACATATCTTCCCTTGTTGAATCTTCCTGGCTGTTCACTGGGCTGCAGAGCTGATTTTTTTGGTGATTGAAGAAGTGGTTCTCCAAGGGTAAGTAACAACTTCCTCCTCTTCCTCCCCTTTTTCCCCAACCCCTTGTCAAGCATTTGGGAAGAATATGAAGAGCTTTTTTTTTTTTTTTTTTTTTTTTTTTTTTTAATTTCAACATTGATTTTTTAACAATAACTTGAGATTAAATACTCAGTATTAAGCAGGTTTTAGTGTAGGCTCTGTGTATGCCCAGCTGATCAGAAATAGAAATTATATCCAATGTGTCCCCCTCAGCCTAGAGC